TATTTTCAGTCAAACAATCACAAAGGATTGGAGTTGTTGTACCGGTAAGAATTAATTTTTGTAGCTTGAGCGAGGGATTTGTTTGAAGTGTTACAAGTTCTTCATCTTTTTGAAATTCTGCTAATTCTTCTAAAGAAACAATAACCGGCATAAGTAGTATAGCTAGACCGATTCTAACTCAGGCATGTGAGGGGGGTGCAGGGAAAAGGGGATATCGGATTACGCTGCGTCAGCACTTTGGAGGGGAGAGGGGTATCGGATTACGCTGTGTCAGCAATTTTAGAGGGGAGGGAAGTATCGGATTACGCGGCGTCAGCACTTTTGGAGGGGTGGGGGGTATCAGATAACGCTGTGTCAGCACTTTTGGAGGGGAGGGGGGTATCGGATTACGCTGCGTCAACACTTTTGGAGAGGTGGGGGGGTATCGGATTACGCGTCATCAGCATTTTTGGAGGGGAGGGGGTATCAGATCACAGCACTTTGAGAAGAGGAGGTATCAGATTACAGCACTTTTGAGGGGAGGGGTATCAGGTTACACACGTTTACAGTTGTAAAAGCGCAGTATCAGCACTTTTACGATGTGTATATCAGGTTACAAGAGATTGGAGGGGACCACATATTTTACAGATTACGTCATCACTTTTTAGAATTTGCAGGCGCCATTTTGCGTTGTCAGCACTTTCGACACCATTTTGCGTTGTTACAAGAATATCATCACTATTTTTAGCAGCATTGTGTCAGCATTTTGGACACCATTGTTGCCAAATTTCTTTATATTTTAATCAGCACTTTTAATAGTGCCATGTGCAAAAGTCCATAGCAACAGGCAGCCACGTCAGCATTTTGGCCATTGTTGCCAGATTTCAATGTTTTAAACGACATTGTCAGCATTTTTTAATTAGTGTCATGTGCAACAAGCGGGTATAAAAAGCTCGCGAAAAATACAAATTATCACAGTTATCCGAAATCATTTGGACAATCACTACATCGCTGCAACGCTTCATCTGAATTATAGCAACGATGTTTTCTGCCGTACAAGAGACAACTGTGAGTAATCTGGCCAACAAACAGCAAGGTGTGGAGACCTTTGCGAAGAAGCGGAAATACTCGCCCAACGTGTAAGTTAACTCTCTTACTATTTACACTTTTAACTTTTAAACTTTTAAACTTACTGCTATTGTTACACTTTGAACTTACACAAGTTTTTATCCACAGAAATAAAAGTAATTCACCAAGTATCGATAGAAGCATGATCACACCTCCCAGAATTTTGGCTAGAAGATACCCGTTGACGAAAGCCGGCTATAAATATCTGGATATCGGAATCAATGTTTCTACGCCGAGCCACATAGAAATCGCTCTCGGTGACAATCATGGCAAAGAGATACATTTTACATACAACATGTGGAAGATCCTCCTGGACCAACGACACGCCATCCACCATTTCTTTAACAATGATGAAGACAAAGCACACGCATTATCTCAAACCATCGAACATGTCACGCTACGGTTTGGAAAGATAAATAATCTAAAAGTGCTGCGTCTGGAAACATCAACGGTGTGTTTAGCAATGTCACACAACACTGTATGTAACATAATCGTTCTCGAGTATTGTGTGGATCGTATCGCTCAATCGTTGAACAACGTCACTGGTATGGTTGACACCAAGTTCACACATTTTCGAAAAATTGCGAGCGGTGCGAAGGACCCCATCACGGTGATACGTGAGAGCGAATCGTTCGATAAGAATGATATAATCGATTATGAGCTGTTAGCTCAGGTCTTTGGATTGCAATAATTCTAGCATATCACATGCTTTATTGTTAAAATATTTTCACCATCATAATGTATTTATTAGATGCATCTGTTTAATAAATATTATTTCAATTATAAATTAAATTATTTTTTATTATCTCGACTATATACCTTTCTCACCCTATCCACTATACTAACCTCCTACTGCGAGATAAGCGAGCGAGCGAATCATATTACAATATCGTACACAGTACTCTACAAGTAATGTATTCTAATTGTACATAACATTAATAAATTGAAAGAGGACTTGACTCAAGAAACTTTAATAATAATAAGTGTTGAAATTTGCAATATTTGATACTTAGAAGAATATTCTATCTCAATTCGCTGGGTCAACTCTTATTACACTGCTGAGAGAAGCAGTTCACGCAATATAAAGCAACAGATAAACCTTCCAAGAAACTTATAGGAAGGGTGTTTGCCACAACGTTTGCTCCTTAGAGTTAGTCATTAAGCAGACATGGACCGTAGTACATTAATAATCGCAATAGACCGCGAATCAGATGCGCGGCAGGTAAAACGTTTCCGCTTTTGGGAGGATGGTATCCCTTTCCAAGTGGAGGAGTTGACGGAAGACAATTTGGCCCTATGGCGGGCTAGTGCGGGGAGGATCTCGCGACAAGAGCGAGTATGCGAATGGCTCAACCAAGTGCCGGATATCCAACTTGCAGCCTAAGTCCATAGGAGACTCCACCACCAGTAAGTACTGTTTAATTTTCTATAAATTT